AGGAATTGTCATTTCTCCTCTGAAGCTGCTGAGCACATGATGATGAAACCTTTGAGCCTTGAGTTCCTGTGGTTTGTTCTGCAGGAGGCGTCGGTGGTTTTGTTCGAGGATCTGCGACTGTGTGCCGTCAAATCTCTGGAGAACATCGACCGGCGCTTCTGCTTCGATCTGCTCTCTGTGCAGAAGTGAGTCCTGATGATCAACCCGCTTTAAAAATAACACATTATTATTATTAGAGAAGTTGGGACCACTTTACAATAAGACCACCCGCATAAAGGGTTTACGAATAGTTTGTGATTCATTTATTAATTAGGTTGTGAACACTTTATAAATCTTAATAAGACATGAGATAAACAGGGCGACTGTGACCGGTTGCTTGCCAAATAGGGAGCCCACATTTATCTGTACTGCTAAGCCTTATATTGGCTACCTAGCTTACTTCGTCTCCTTCATCAGCCAGCATCCTTGGTATCTGTTGCTCACTGAGTTGATTCTCGCTAAGTAGCCAATATAAGCCTGTGTTGATGTATGTTAGAACTGGTTTATAAATGGTTCCTAATGATTAATAAAGTGTTTACAACCTAATTGATAACCTAATTAGAAACCCTTTATGAATCCTTTATACGGGTGGTCTTATTGTAAAGTGGTGCCCATTCAAGTTTTACATGCAAGGAATCTGCTCTGGTGCACGGCAACGCACTTGGATGGTAAACTGCTCAAAATGACGGCCAAATACATTTCCAAGCCATTGAGTCACATTTGTAATAAAAGCTTAGAGCAAAGCGTGTGCCCCGAGATCTGGAAGGAAGCCAAGGTCATCCCATTACCCAAGGATAAAAGAAAATCCTTTGCTGGTTCCAATAGTCGACCTATCAGTCTCCTCCCAGTGTTAGGTCAATTAATAGAAAAAATAGTATACACCCAAATTCAATACTACTTTTCAAGTAACAATCTGACAACGAACTACCAACAACATGCCTATAGAGATGGTCACTCTACAAGTACAGCACTTGCACAAATGACCGACGACTGGCTCAAGAGCATGGATGATAGGAGGCTTGTAGGAGCTGTGATGTTAGACTTTAGCACAGCTTTCGATGTAATCGATCATAGTCTGCTGCTGAACAAACTCAAATGCTATGGCTTTGGTTCTGTTGCTATGGCTTTGGTTCTGTTGCTATGGCTTTGGTTCTGTTGCTATGGCTTTGGTTCTGTTGCTATGGCTTTGGTTCTGTTGCTATGGCTTTGGTTCTGTTGCTCTGGCTTTGGTTCTGTTGCTCTGGCTTTGGTTCTGTTGCTATGGCTTTGGTTATGTTGCTATGGCTTTGGTTCTGTTGCTGTGGCTTTGGTTCTGTTGCTATGGCTTTTGTTCTGTTGCTATGGCTTTGGTTCTGTTGCTATGGCTTTGGTTCTGTTGTTATGGCTTTGGTTCTGTTGCTATGGCTTTGGTTCTGTTGCTATGGCTTTTGTTCTGTTGCTATGGCTTTGGTTCTGTTGCTATGGCTTTGGTTCTGTTGCTATGGCTTTGGTTCTGTTGCTCTGGCTTTGGTTCTGTTGCTCTGGCTTTGGTTCTGTTGCTATGGCTTTGGTTATGTTGCTATGGCTTTGGTTCTGTTGCTATGGCTTTGGTTCTGTTGCTATGGCTTTGGTTCTGTTGCTATGGCTTTGGTTCTGTTGCTGTGGCTTTGGTTCTGTTGCTATGGCTTTGGTTCTGTTGCTATGGCTTTGGTTCTGTTGCTGTGGCTTTGGTTCTGTTGCTATGGCTTTGGTTCTGTTGCTATGGCTTTGGTTCTGTTGCTGTGGCTTTGGTTCTGTTGCTATGGCTTTGGTTCTGTTGCTGTGGCTTTGGTTCTGTTGTTATGGCTTTGGTTCTGTTGCTATGGCTTTGGTTCTGTTGCTGTGGCTTTGGTTCTGTTGCTCTGGCTTTGGTTCTGTTGCTATGGCTTTGGTTCTGTTGCTATGGCTTTGGTTCTGTTGCTATCGCTTTGGTTCTGTTGCTATGGCTTTGGTTCTGTTGCTATGGCTTTGGTTCTGTTGCTCTGGCTTTGGTTCTGTTGCTATGGCTTTGGTTCTGTTGCTATGGCTTTGGTTCTGTTGCTCTGGCTTTGGTTCTGTTGCTATGGCTTTGGTTCTGTTGCTATGGCTTTGGTTTTGTTGCTATGGCTTTGGTTCTGTTGCTCTGGCTTTGGTTTTGTTGCTATGGCTTTGGTTCTGTTGCTATGGCTTTGGTTCTGTTGCTATGGCTTTGGTTCTGTTGCTATGGCTTTGGTTCTGTTGCTATGTGTTGGACGGAGAGCTACCTGACTAGGAGAAGGCAGCGAGTCTTTTTCAATGGGAGCTTCTCTGAAAGTAAGGTGTTGCAGTGTGGGGTCCCACAGGGGAGTTCGCTTGGGCCTTTGTTGTACTCTATATTCACAAATGACCTTCCTTACGTATTAAATAAGTCCAGCGTAATAATGTATGCTGATGATTCCACAATGTACAGCATCAACATGCAGTGAGTTAAACTATCTACTTAAAATAGAGATTAGAGCCATACTGGGTCAACAATAACAAACTGGTACTCAACATTGCAAAAACAAAAGCAATGGTGTTCGGATCCTGACAGATGTTCAGCAGCAATCCTCATTAAGCCTGACGCCGGCTGGTCAGCCAGTGGAACAGGTACACGAGACTAAGCTGCTTGGCATTGTTCCTGATTCTGGTTTACGGTGGACGAAGCAAATTGACAGTATCGTAACTAAAATGGGAAGGAGCTGTGACGAGAACATTTACAAAGTATGAAACACCAACCACTTTGAAACAAGTCATTCAGTCTCTGGTTTTGTCACATCTTGAGTCCTGTCCGGTCATATGGTCATCAGCAGCAAAAACACATTTACAGAAATTACTAATAGCTCAAAACAAGGCTGCCAGACTCGCTCTCCACTGTTCGAAGCGCACTCATATTGGAGTTATGCATAAAAACCTATCACGGCTTCCGGTTGAGAAACGTCTGCAATCTCGTGTTATCACTTTTCTAAAAAATGTCCAATTTAGCAAAAAAACACTATTTTTATGATCAAAGTTTACACAAGAGACGAGCACGACCATAAGATTAGACAAGCTGCATCAGGCCATCTACGGGCACCTAAACCCAGGACCAATCTTCTGTGACTTATGGCGCATTTCCACTGCAGCGGGGTAGCCCCGTTTAAGCGTCCCTAAGCGTCCTCGCTCTGGCCTCGGGCTGCCTCGCTGGCCGGCCCAGGCCGTGGCGCATTTCCATTACAGTTTAGGACCTGGGGTAGCAACGCAGTGTAGGCGGGGCGATCGGCTTTGTTTTTGTTCACATTTCGAGTTGTTCCGTTGAGCTCCCGCTGGATTTGATCATCCCCAATGAGATGTAGGAACGTCGTCACCTCCTCGGTCGACCACGGTGTGCTTTTCTTATTAGACGTAGCCATTTTTGTAGCTCATCCGTTTACAAAATGCTGTTTATAGAAATGCTGCAAGCTTGCTTCTAAATATATATGCGACGCTAGGGATGAACTTGCGCGCGATCTTGTGACGATTCTCTCTGACCAATCAGCAGTCGAGAGTGTTGACGTCACTAGTTCAGCCCTGGCCCTGGTCTGAGGGAACCACGATTTTATGGGGCCGGAAAAAGAGGGAAAAAGTACCCGCTGGCCGGTACTAGGCTATATGGAAAGGCCACCAAAAACTGGCCTGGCCGCTTGAGGACGGTTAAGGACGCTTAAACGGGGCTACCCGCTGCAGTGGAAATGCGCCATTATCGAGCTATGAAGGAACTCATTGCCAAACTACCTGGCTGACATAGAGTCCAGAGCCTCTTTCAAGAAGAGATTGAAGGGCCATCTACTAATGACCACGTACCCCTTACTGTGAACCCTAATGTCATGCTTTGAGCTGGTGGGGGTCTTGTGCACTCATCCTTGGCTGAGGTTGATATTGAAAGTGGATGAGATTGTTGATGATATTGGTGACGTTGTTAATGATGTCAGGAATTATGTCTTGAATGTTGTTGTATTGTTTTAAGTGTCGGACCCCAGGAAGAGTAGCTTTTGAGGATCCTTAATAAACATAAACGCTACAGAACAATCTAAATCAAAGCAAGCATTGCAAAGAAAAATCTAGAAACACAAGTAAAAAAATACAATAAATTACAAATGAAATGAGAATGAATACTAATTAACCTCAGAGAGTATCAATAGTATTATTATCACAGCTGTTATTATTGATTTCATTAAAGTTAGGAAGATATTTATTATTATTTATTTTTAATTATAATGGTTTTTATTTATTGTACACTCTTTTTATTTTCATGTTAGAATTAATGCATAATATATACACATTTATTCGTATTCAACATTATTTCTATTGTTGTTGTTGTTGTTGTTGTTGTTATTGTGCATTTATTGTATTTTTAATGTATACAAATAATGCTGTTATATTGTGTATTCTCAGGAGCTGTGCTCTGCAGGCGGATTCTGAGGAGGTGAAGCAGTCGTGGCTCGAAGCTCTGCAGGGGAGCATCGACCTCGCCTACAGACAGGTACAGACAGACAGGTACACACAGACAGGTACACACAGACAGGTACAGACAGACAGGTACAGACAGACAGCTACAGACAGGTACAGACAGACAGGTACACACAGACAGGTACACACAGACAGGTACACACAGACAGGTACAGACAGACAGGTACAGACAGACAGGTACAGACAGACAGGTACAGACAGACAGGTGCAGACACTCAGCTACAGACAGACAGGTACAGACAGACAGGTACAGACAGACAGGTACACACAGACAGGTACAGACAGACAGGTACAGACAGACAGGTACAGACAGACAGGTACACACAGACAGGTACAGACAGACAGGTACAGACAGACAGGTACAGACAGACAGGTACAGACAGACAGGTACACACAGACAGGTACACACAGACAGGTACACACAGACAGGTACACACAGACAGGTACAGACAGACAGGTACACACAGACATGTACACACAGACAGGTACACACAGACAGGTACACACAGACAGGTACACACAGACAGGTACACACAGACAGGTACAGACAGACAGGTACACACAGACAGGTACACACAGACAGGTGCACACAGACAGGTACAGACAGACAGGTGCACACAGACAGGTACAGACAGACAGGTACAGACAGACAGGTACAGACAGACAGGTACACACAGACAGGTACAGACAGACAGGTGCACACAGACAGGTACACACAGACAGGTGCACACAGACAGGTACAGACAGACAGACAGACAGACAGGTACGTACAGACAGACAGGTACAGACACTCAGCTACAAACAGGTGCAGACAGACAGACAGGTACAAACAGAGAACAGAAACTCAGGTACAGACAGAGAACAGACAGAGAACAGACAGACCATGAACATGCACTGAACCTGTCACTCACTACAGGAGAGGGCAAATCCCATAAAAACAAGACGATGGCCTCTTTCAAAAGTTACTAATGTAATGAAACGTCCCTCCCATGTGTTCCTCCCCAGCCTAAAGAGGCTCCTCCCCCTCAGGGTGGGGGCGACTCCTCCCCTGGCCCCCCCCCTCAGAGGCAGTCTGTGCTGGGCGAGGCGTTCAGGGCCCCCGGGAACATGCTGTGCTGCGACTGTGGAGAGGAGGAGCCTCGCTGGGCCTCCATCAACCTGGGGGTCACCGTCTGCATCCAGTGCTCCGGCATTCACCGGTCAGTACCAATACTCTCTATTATATAGTACTTACTAGAGGTGTGGACTCGAGTCACATGACTTGGACTCGAGTCACATGACTTGGACTCGAGTCACATGACTTGGACTCGAGTCAGACTCGAGTCACCAATTTGATGACTTTGGACTCGACTTGACAAAATCACAAAACACTCGGGACTTGACTTGGACTTGAGCCTTCTGACTTGAGGTGATCATTTAATTCGGGGGTCTCCAACACGCCGATCGTGAGCTGCCGCTAGAAGAGCAGACTCCCGTCGGGGAGAGCAGAATCTTCAGCCGCTCCTCCTCTTGCTGTGAATCCATGCAGGGAGGGGGGACTTTATTTAGCTGGGCCACCATGCGGCCAATCATATGCGAGGACACACTAGGATCATACCATTATGTGAAAGAAGGGTGGGGGGCACAGCATGTGTAGTGGTACAGGCCAGCTGCACAGAGCGACGGGGAGCCGGATTTAAATTTAAAGCGCGTCGGGAAAAGTCAAGAAATGAGCGAAAACCAAAAAAAGAAGCAGCGTCTGCTGCTTTTCAACGATACTGGAGAAAGCAGAGCTGAGTGCAGGATCTGTAAAATGAAAATAACCTTTTTTGGTAACCACTCAGGATTTATTGTCAGAGGAGGGAGAAGTTCAGATCTTGAGTAAAAGTTCCAGAGTGTAGGAATACTCGGTTACAATAAAAAGTCCTGCATTCAAAATGTTACTCAAGTAAAAGTAGAAAAGTATTAGCATCAAAATATAGTTAAAGTCCCTGCAGAGGGATCTAGATGCAGGTGTTCTTTATAGAGACGCCTCGCTGCACATTATCCCTTGCATAGAGATAGATTGTGGGTCCCTCACAACATGTTGTACACAGTGGAAATAAACATTTTGGTTACCTCAACATCAGGGATCTTATACATTAAACTCCTTCTGAATCAAACCGTCACGGTAGCCTCACCTCACTGATCCCTCTTGAATTAGAGAAACACGTTACTTTACCAGCAGAGAGAAAATGGATTATTAAATTAATAATGAGTCTAATAAAGAGCAGTTTGATTATTAAGTATTATTCTGTTGATCGATGTCATTACATTTGGTGAAAAACACATAATGACTTGTTTATGACTCGTTTTGTCAAAGTTTAGGACTTGACTTGAACTTGACCTCTGGTGTTTAATATTCACTATATACACCGGTCAGTACCAATACTTTATATGATATAGTGTTAAATATATATACACGGTAAAATAAATAAATAACATAATAAAATCTTTAATATTTTGGGAAATTCTGACTATTTTTAAGTGAAAAAGTGAAAGTGTTAGAATATTCTGAGAAGAAGAAGAGGAGGATAAACGCTGATGGAAATGTAACATTGAGTCTTAATTCATGAAGTTCAATATCTCAGGACACGAGATGTACTTTATGGCGAAAAAGGGTTAGGTTCAATGTTTGGTCCAAAAAATCTTGATTATTTGGGTTAAAAGGTCTCGAGAAAAAATACAACGTTTTCATATTTTGAGAAACAAATATGCAGATTATGTTAAATTTATGAATTTCAAAAACTAATCCAACAAAATACGTTGTGTTTCCAGGAGTCTGGGAGTCCACCTGTCCAAGGTGAGGTCTCTCACTCTGGACTCCTGGGAGGCAGAGCAGCTGAAGGTAACACACACACACACACACCACATCACACCAAACACTGACACACACACACACACACACACACACACACACACACACACACACACACACACACCATGTATACATCACTTCAGGGGGCATTACATAACCTTAACCAACACATGCCTAACCCTTACCCTAATCCTAACCCTAACCAAGTCTAGTAATGCTAGGCCAAACACACACACACACACACACACACACACACACACACACACACACACACACACACACACACACACACACCACACACACACACACACACACACACCAAACACTGACACACACCACACCCACACACACACGCACTTGTTGACAAAATATGAAAACAACACACTTAATGCATAATTTAATTTGAATCCTCCTCCTCCTCCTCTTCCTCCTCAGCTGCTGTGCATTCTGGGTAATAACGTGGTGAACAGGATCTACGAGGCTCGATGTTCGGATGAAGGACGAGTTAAACCCCGATCCGACAGCTCGAGGTGAAACAAACGTCTCTTATTAAATCTCAAACCGTGACATCACGTGTGTTTGAGTCTCAGCTTCGTTCTTCCTGCTCGTCTGTCGCTATGCATTCAATCCTTCAGCGTGGATTCCTGTGATGATGAGTTATAAACCTAAAGGAATAAGATGAACGTTTTCTTGGTTTCAGATCAGAGAAAGAGGCGTGGATCAAAGAGAAATATGTGGAGAAGAGATTTGTGCAGAGCAGCTCAGAGGGTGAGTGCAGCAGGAAGGAAACTCATTAAAGGATCATTCGATGTATTTAGTGTTCAATGCCGTCTACAATTAAACACCATTTAATCCAGCAGAGGAGACAGACGGACATTCTTCAGAAATGTTTTTTTTTTCCTCGAGTCAAAATATCTTAATATTTGGAAAAAAAGCATTTTATCAAAAAAATCTGAATATTTTTTTGATAAAATAAGTTTTAATACTTTAAGAAAAATAATTGTTTTTCGGGAGAAAAGTTGTGAAATATTTTTGCTAAACTAAGAATAAAAGAACATGAATATTTTGAGTAGCGGAACAAATCTATATTTTGGGGATATTTTTCTTGAGTGAAATAATCTAAATATATATATTTTTTTAAAAATCTTTAGGACAAAGAATATTCAGAAAAATAAAAAAGCTGAATAATTTGACCGAACATTTAATTTGAAAAAACATGTTTGGACTAATAACAAATAGGAATGTCTCAGGTACAAAAAAAAGATATATTTTAACGAAAAAACTGAATCTTTTGAGCCAAAATGTTCTCAATACTTTTAGAAAAATACGTTTGAATACTTTAAGAAAGAA